AAATATATTATATTATAATATATATTAATATTATATTAATTATTAATATTAAAAAATAAATATTATAATTTAAAATTAAAAACAAAAGTTTGTCTTTTCAAACATTTCAACTTTACAAACCCACTTCCTAAAAGGCAAAAATTACCGTTCCCACTTCCCACGTTTAGTCATCTACAGACTATAGCAGCGTCGACCGTTCCGGTGACTAGCAGCCGCCAATCGACCAGCAGGCAGCCGCAACACAACAACAACCGGTAAATTTCAATGTTATAACAAGGCTAAATTTCAATGTTAACGACAATTTATTATTTTGAATCATACAATAATTTGAAAAACAGAGTAAAATAAGCAAAAAGAAATAAACATTAATAAAATAAACAAAAAAATTATAAAATTTTAAAAAGCCCACAAAGCAGGCCCATAACAAAAAACCGAATTAACAAAAACCGAACCGAAATAACAAAAACCGAACCGAAATAATAAAAACCGAACCGAACCGAATTATTTCGGTTCGGTGTTCGGTACACGTTGTACAAGAACCGAAAACCGAAAAAACCGAAAAAAAAAAACCGAAACCGAACCGAAATACCGAATGCCCAGCCCTAATGCATTGGTCGATTCAGTTTGGTTTCATGTATCGATTCGGTTTATTGATTTTGATTTTTCAATACGCTAAACCAATAATCAAATCAATAAGACATGTTTTATCAATTTATCGACTTTGATTCTTAACGATTCGGCTTCAGTTTAATCAATACGAAATTGCTTATAAAATAAATATGCGACTTCTCCAACAATTTGACGTGACAAGAAAACAATGTAACTTTACCAATACTCATAAGATAGAAACTGTAATAACTAACAGGAAAAAATCTATACAAGTATAACACAAATAGAAATTAAGAAGAAAAAAACTCTTACTTAGATTTTGATGTTTTGTATAATGTGAAGTTGTGAACTCAAAGTTACTATGAAGTCATATGAATTGAAGGATAAAGGGCAAAGACACTAATTAGTAAGATATTGAGTTAATATATAATATATTAATATTTAAGAACGGGTAAATTAGTAAATTACTACAGTTTTAATGTGTTATCAGTTTACCTAATAACTCAATATTCTCAAAAAAAAATTTTTTACATGAAATGGCAAACATCTAGAGTATATTATGTAATATAGTTATAGTTTCAATTATTTTTAATATGTGGCAATAGTTTCACAAGAAATTTTGTTATTCGATTTCCTAATTATATAAATCCAGAATTTGTATAATTCGGTCTCTAATGGTATAAATTCAAAAATTATATAATTTGGTTACTGATTGTATATATCCAGAATTTGTATAATTCGATCTCTAATTGTATAAATCTAAAATTTATATAATTTGGTTACTGATTGTATAAATTCAGAAGTTGTATATTCTTATCCTAATTATTTGTATATGATTTATGAAAAAATCATAATAAATTACCTTGTTTGTATATTTGCAGGTGACATATACAAACAGAGTTCTGAAAAATTCCTAAATATATAAATATAAAATTTGTATATATTTACCTTGTTTGTATATTTGCAAGGAAAATATACAAATGGACAAGCGAAATATATAAATCGCAACATCTATTTGTATATATTTACCATGTTTGTATATTTGCAAATGAAATATACAAAATGTTGCCTCTATAACAAACAGAACCATAACTATGAAGTGCAATTACCGAAACCTTAGCTATATAACCTTATTATATTTTTCATCTTTGCTATTTTTGAAATTTTCTCAATTAAAAAAAAAACAAATTGATAACTCGATAATCTTTTTTTATAAAACCATTAAAAAATCGTTGATCAAATAATCGAATAATAATAAAAAATCAGTAACACTTTTTTCAATTCAATCTATATCGGTTCAATTTTTAGTCACTCCTACCTAAGCATAAGGATCATTTTGGTCATTTTCTCTATAAAATACTTTATGGTCTTCAACATTAGAAGTTAAGAGAATCAGAAAAATCAGAAGAATGAGTTTTCCAAAAGAGGAATCGGATAGTTCCATTAAAGATGATCAGATCCGGCGAGCCCAACTGCAAATTCAATTTCACGGAACCAGAAGGGAGGATTTTCAGTCCATTGAAGCCTATGTGAAAAGATTGAAGTCCATCGCCGATTCTCTAGTAGAAATCGGCGATGAGATCTCAAATTCAGACAAGGTGTTGCAACTTCTTGCTGGTTTGCCTAATCAATACTTACCCCTCAAAAACATAATATCATCAAGGTGTCCTCTCCCCAATTTTGAAGAAGCTTCTTCCATGTTGTACATGCAGGAGGACATATTATTACATGTAAGCAAAGGGGGAAAAAAATTTACTCTATATTCAAAAGGCATAATACATAAACATGACATTTAATTTGGCGACAGCTGATAATTATGATCTTTAATTTTGAATATGCACAAGTAAATACTTAAATTTATATAAAATTGAACACATTCGTCCTACATGACACCTTACATGACAATATCGTGTCCTACATGGCATCCTATGCCTATTATGTCACGTAGGACAAATATGTTTATTTGTTCAATTTTATACAAATTTAAGTACCTACTTGTGCACATTCAAAATTAAAGATCATAGTTATCCGTTAAAACCAAGTTAAGGATCATGTTTATATCTTATGCCTATTCAAAATTACAAATATTCTTATTATGAGCTAATTTACGGTTGCAGGATCCCAGTGTTGTTGGTGCAGAGCAATCGTCGTCTGGTTTTTGTACAGTAGATAAGTTTGTTGATGTAGTGGAGACATTGGGTACTGTAGTAGCTGCAGCTGGTACATTGGGATTGGGTACTGTCTTTGCTGCTCCATTGGGTACTGTGGTTGGTGCAGTTGGTGCATCCAGGATGATTGTATTTGGAGCAGTAAGTGCCATGTCTGGCTGGAAAAATTGGCAAGCACTCCGTCGCAAGTAATTAATCGGTTGATTTCTTGTATGGTCACTTAATTAATAGTTATTTCGTTTGTGTAATCAAAAGCTTGATTTGCTACTTCTATTTAAAGTTTGTCTTGAGATGTATTATGATATGCAGTTGAAGTTCTACACAAACTTTCATTTGTGTTTTGCAATATTTTGATTTTCCTTTTGAGGTGTGTATGGTATGGAGGTATATTTTTGGGAAAATGGTCTGAAAAGTATTTTAACTTTGATCGAAATTATTGTTACGATATCAAATTTTATGGAGGATTTTTTACCTCTACACTATTTAATAGTGGATTTTAAAGGTATATATGTACCTAGTGGACACGTTACTATTTATAATGATGCAATATTTATGATGTTCACATGGACATATATATACCTTTAAAATACACTATTAAATATTGTTACAACAATTTCGATCAAAATTCGGATATATTTCAGATCATTTTCCCTATATTTTTTGGTAAAGGATTAATTAATCTCCGTAATAGACCCAGATTAGTTGAAGAGAATAGTTTTAGATTCCGTTTGGATAAGCTGGAAAAAAATGAGTAGTTTTTAAGTCAAAAAATTAAAAATTAAAAAATTTAGAAATAATTTCAGAGACCTTCCCTCACATTTAACTTTATAACACTTACTTCCCTTGTGGTTTCAGATATTACACTCATCTCCTTATTTTTAAATTTTTGTAACCAAACTTATTTAAATGATAATCTTTCAACAACATTCCAAAAATACCCTTTTATAACATTAATATAATTATTTAATACTTCTATAGTTCTTTATGACTAATAACATAAGCAATATTTCGTTCCAGTTTTTAATACTATATTTGAGTTTCTTTTAAGGTTGGATTCATAATACGAGAAACGATACGGTATAAATCAATCGGTAAATTCTTTTTTTTGATAGAAAAATGCAACCTGCATACTTGACCTCCAAATATTTGTATAAACATTTTTTTTTTCATTTGACATGCGATAATAAATGTTTAGTTTGATAATTTTTTAGACTTAAGAAAAAAAACAATTATGTTCATATATATATATAAAAAAAAAAAATCTGCACATAATTACCAGACAATATTTCCCGACCCTAAACAATATTTTTATAATAAATTTTCAACATTCTTTTTGTACTTAAAATATTGCATATGTCTTAACCGTAAAAATTACCACTAAATTTTAATATGTTTAAGAAGTTCCGTCATTTTAGCAAGTTCGATAGTTTACAAGGAAATAAATAAATGTATATAATGAAAGACGGTGCGCGGTGGAGCACCATAGGTAGAGTATTTTATTTCAGCTAAAATATTTTGGAAATTTTCATTTCAAAAATTAATAAAAAATAATGTTAAGCAAGGGGCAACTTTGGAATATTGGATGAGTTTTAATGATTAATAAAAAATAATGTCAAGAAAGGGCAACTTTGGAATATTAGATGGGTTTTAGCATTAAAACTAATTTGGTTACATAAATGTGAAAATAAGGGAGGTGAGCGTAATATCTAAAACTAGAAGGGAAGATAGTGTTATAAGGCTAAACTTGAGGGGAGGTCTCTGAAATTATCCTAAAATTTTAAATAATTTTTAAGTCAAAAAATGAAAAGTAAGAGAGCCTACTTTTGATTTTTAATTTATTTGACATTATTTTTAACTTTGTCAAAACACTTTCAACAACTAAAAACACATTAAAAATAGGTTTGATCAACTTTTAAATTCATCCAAACATGTTAGTTTGATGTATCGATCAAATTTCGACTTACATGCATTGATGCAAACATCCAGGTGAGAAGGGAATGTAAGTCAAGATAAGCTATAATTGTGTTGGTGTTGTCATTGAAATCAAGAGAAAATAATTAAAATGGTCTTTTGGTAATGTTTTATTTTGGTTCTTAATATATTTTTAGGAAAAATACTTAAATATGTCATTGAATTTTGAGAAAATGTTCATCAATGTCAAATCTAAAAATTTGGTTCGTCTATGTCTTTTCTGTTTGAGAAAAAGTTCATCCATTTTTTGTCAAAATTCAATGACATATTTGAGTTTTTTCTCTTTAAAAATGATTTAATTAACAATGTGGCTGAATCATAATTGACCACGTGTAAAAAAATAATTTTGAAAAATTGAAATTATTTTTAACAAATAATGGCATGGATGAGTGTTTTTCAAATGAAAATGGCATAGATGGGCCTTTTCTCAAAGTTTGATGACATATTTAAGTCTTTTTTCCTATATTTTACATGATTGAAATAATACTTACTTAATAACAAAAGTTATTCATTTGGGTCCTAAAATTAAACCTAATAGGGGCGGGCCCACGTTGAGCGAATGGGTGTCAAGCGAATCCCCGAAAAATTTAACTAAAGTTTTTTATATATATATATATATTAACTAAGAAATTTTTTATTTAAGCAAATATGATTATGTCTTTCCAATCCTTTAATCCACCTTGTTTGCACATCTACCTATTAGAGCCTCTGTTCCGATCATTCAATATCCGTATCTTTCATACTATATTTATCTAAATTATACATAAAATAAATTTAAGATACTATTTTTTTATATATATAGCAAACACAAAAAATAATTAAATTATTTTCTTACCGTATCAAACATGATCAAAGTAACGAATTTTTTGCTTTAGGAAATTGTACGGAGCCAATAATGTGTAAGGCAGTTTGGTCATATCGCGAATTAATAAATTTTTTTTATTATATGCAACAATTTTATTGTTACTAAACTATAGGACTTGCGTGAAATTTGTGTTCCAATATGAAAAGTAGATCAAGGAAAAAGACAAAAATATGTCTATTTCATTATAGCTTTTATTTCCCTCAGACCTAAAGACCAAGTCAGCTCATTTTCTATCAACCAATATGACTTACTTCACGAGTAAGTTAATTCAGATACGTATTCTTCTCCTTTTTCAATTTATGTCATATTATTTAAACTGATAAGGAATTTAAGAAATAAATAAATATTTTAAAAATTCGTTATAAATACTTTTAATATTGCTATCTCAATATAAATAGCAATATTTAATTCTGTAAAAAAAATGAAAAATGAAAAAATAAATTAAAATTTATTGTTTAAATAAATTTTAGATATTTATATATATAAATCATTTTATTTATTAAGGTAATAGATAAATTTTGAATTTAAGCTATTTATTATTATATAAAAATGAGTTATTTAAAAAATATATATAGTATCATATAAAATAGGCAAACAGTATTTTCTTTGATCACAATTTGTTAAAATAATTTTTAAAATATCATTCTTTTAAGAAACATATGTTGTATATATAATATAAATATGAAAATTTTATCTTAAAAATTAGTAAAAAATTCAACATCTAAAATCACATTAAAAAAATTAAAGATTCTAACACCTAAATTCAAAGTGAAAGATGTTTTTTGAAGATTGGTTTATATTTGAATTAACATCAAAATTTTAAACAGTAAGAGTTTGTTTGACCGAGGAACAAGTTGTTTTGAGATTAATTATTTAAAATCATCATTTCCTTCTCTATGTGGAATAAAAATAACATTATTAACTAATCTAATCATCTTATCAACATAAAAAAAACGAGATAAATTCATCTTAAAATTAATTTCAAAATTAATTATTTCTTATCATTAGTACCAAACGAGCCATAACACACTAATTCAAACAGTACTACAGGGTTCATATTTTAAAGGGTGGAAGTCTACTCAGAGAATAAGAAGAAAAACCGGAGAGATAGAAGCAGAGTTCAGTCAGGTAGAAACTTTAACAATGAATTTTCCAATTGAAGAATCTGATAAAAAAATAAATCAAAATTTACAGTTTAAATAAATGTTACGATATTTATATAGATATTAATCATTTTATTAAGGTAATATATAAATTTTGAAGTTAAGCTATTTATTATTATATAAAAATATTTTTTTAAAAAAAAAACTATATCATATAAATTAAGATAGAAAAAATTATCATCTTCCTTAAAACGCATGGAAAGAAAAAAGCATCATGTAAAGAAAGTTGATATTCTGAATAATACATTTCTTGACTTCACCCACCAATAAAGTTATTAAAAATAAAAGGTAACCAATAATGTTGTCTCATCGTACTACTTTAAATCTTTTATCGTAAAGTACAAAATATACTAATAAAATGTTGCTATCCAGTCCCTCATTTTCTCCCTATAATTTTTTCATATATAATTGTATTACTTTAATAATACTTGTATGGAGAAAATTCTCTTAAGAGTGTCACCCCCAAATGAGCTCTGTAGAGCGCGATCCAAAATTAGTTGGAGCTTCAAGGTGGACTACAAACACCGGGTGAGAAACAAAAAAAAAACAACTAATTTTGTAGTGCTATTTTTAAAGAGTTACTTGACAATAAGAATTATATAAGGTAAAAACAATAGACAAACCATGTGATTAAAATAGGGAAAATTATGCAGATAAGTAAATATACACTAGTTAATTAACTAATATGGTTATAATTTGAATTAATTATCACTTGCCGCCTTTTTTTAGTTATAATTACATACACCTCTTTCACCTTTTTCCTCTCTTATACATACAAATACAAATTATACATATACATATACAATTATATGATAGATATATGAATACAATTCATCTCTCTCCACTCTCTGCTCTCTCCTCCTTCTCTCAATCTCGCTCGCATCTCTCTTCCTTCTCCCACTCTCGCTCGCCTCTCTCCTCCTTCTCCCAATCGTGCTCACCAAATATTCAAATACATACGTATACCAGTTACATATATACAATTATCTGACATATATACATATACAATTCGACAGATATGCAAATACAATTCACCTCTCTCGCTCGATTCTCTCTTCCCTCTTCAATCTTGTTCGCCTCTCTTCTCCCTCTAACATGTAGATACAAATCATAATTAGCAAACTATAACTATGATGCCTAATAAAATTAATTTTAATGGCTATTTACAAAATTTCTCCGTTAAAATAAAAGTTTATTTCTCTTTGGATACACGATAAGTGGCACTAGCCTGTGCATATCTCTGATGGCAAGTAAACGACAGAGGAAGGAGGAATCTATGGCTAAACCCCAACTTAATTATGAGATTATAATCTATAATGCAAAATGATTTATTTTTTTTTGGTTTCAATCTATATCTGCTACTA